GCACTCGTCGCTCTACGACTCGCGCGAGCTTGCAAATAGCAACATCGCGCCATAGTCAGCGGGTCCACGTCTGGTAATTATGACCAGGCCGAGACCCGCTGCGGATGGATCTGACGGTGAAACATGGCGTCCGGCCGTGGGGGAGTTGAGGGTGTGCTGCGGTTGTCTGGTGAGTTCACGTCCTTTCTTCGGTGACGGACGTGGATGGACTGGTGATGATTAAGAAGGATTGCCTTGCCCCCTCTTCCTTCCTTCCCTCCTGTCCTCGTCTCTGTTCCCGTCTAGACCATCCGCGTCGCAACCATCCATCGCAATTTCCATCCAAACCCCGCCAATATCTATGTCTACCGACGTAGTATCCGCCTGCTCCGGTTCGACTTGTAGCCCCGTCGATCGGCTCGGCCTCCGCCATGCATCCGCCTCCACATACACTCGGTTTCGGACTGCAAGCGAGCCCTCGTCGGCCAAGCCAGCTGCGGTGCGACCCTCCAGGTCGGACGATAGTCCGACACGCGTCCGCTTGCGTGTACATACATACAGCCGTCATCTGTACACCATCCACTCGTCACGCGTGCAGCGCGCGCATCCTTGATCGCACCTCGGTACGTCATCGTGATTCTTTGCTGTCGTCCCCATTGCTGCTTCTAACCTCGCCTCGCCTCGCCGTCCACAGCGCGCGCGACACCGTGACCAACGTTCCCTACATGCATCCAGCATACGTATCCTATCTGCACGCGCCACATCACACATCTACTGTATGCTCCCTACGTCACCACACGCTGTATATGTACACCCGCCTCCTGGCTTTTTCCCCTCGTCGTCATTGCGCTCCCTTCGTATGTAGCACCCATCTCGGATGCCCACGCCATCGCTGCCCCCGTCTCGTTGTGGTTCGGTCGCTCGGGAGCGGACGTAGGTGACGCAGGGGCGTCGGTGTCGGGGTGTTCTGGGTGCTCTATCTCTATCTCTCTCTTAGACCTCATCGTCATCGTCATCATCGTCTCATCGTATGCTATCTCGTCGTCGTATACTGCTGTAGCCCACGCCAGATGTGTTTGGTTGGTAATATTGTACGCAACTCTAGTCCTTAGGTACTAGTGCTCGTTGATCGTCTCATTCGGCTGGTATGGGCGAGCTGGAGCGCCATTCTCTGCGTGCTGGAGGACGGGTCGTGCGTGATTCATGTTGCCACCAGGTATCGTGGACCGCAATTCGACACGTATGCAGCCTGTGCGATGTTGCATGCGGTGTTTGCGCGATCCAACATTAAACCGCCCGAGCCCGAGCCTCGCGACTGGTACGGAATGACGTGAGATTGACGAGCGAGCGTGCTACGGAGACGGAACGAGGAGCGAGAGTGTGAGAGCGAGAGAGAGCATAGCGAGTTGTGCGAAGAGAAGGAAGAGAAGGAAGATGGGAGAGAAGAAGGTGGGGGAAAGGGCTGGCTGGGGGTATACTATGGATGATGGGTGGATGCGGGATGGACTCGTGAAGCGGCGTGTCAGTGCCCCGTCGAAGCTAGGCTGGGACGGGTCTTCGTGAAGGGAAGCGGGGAGCGAGGTCTATGTGTAACGTCTCACGCCGTTCGGCCATCGGGGCCTGCAAGGGGTGCTCGACCGATTATCTAGTCACGGTGTTCAAACGTTCACTCGTCGCGCGGGGCGAGGGAGACGCGGAGCGGGAGCTGCGCGCCCTTGTGCAGCTCGCCCTCGAGCGTGGGCACCATGACGATCGCGGTCGTCTTGCGGATGCGGGGGACGTCGTCCGAGAGCTCGAAGACGAAGTTGGAGACGAGCTCGGTGAGGAAGGCTTGGAGCTCGTAGATCCTGTGCATGGGAAGGGAGGAGAGGAGAGGGTGCGTAAGCGGTACGGTCGCGGTTCGGGCGGAGGGGTGAGGGGGAGGGGGGAGGGAGTAAGGAGGGACGTACGCAAAACGCCAGCCGATGCACGCGCGCACGCCTCCAGCGAATGTGAGCCTGGGGTCGGACGAACAGTGTGTCAGGAGAGAATAAAAAGGCCTCGAGGAGGAACGTTTGAACTGAACGCACAGGTTGGAGTAGACACCAACAGACGTGCCGCGCCTCGTGCCTTTGGAGGAGTCGAGCCATCGATCGGGGTTAAAGACGTGTGCGTCCTCGCCGAACACCTCCTTCTCCCTGTATGCGTCCCCACTAGTGGTCAGCATCATGGCCTTCACGCGAGGAAGTGGTATGGTATGGTGCGACACCCACCGGTTATACGCGCACACCGACAAGTTCAAGCGCAACCCAGCCCGAATCGGGATCTCCGTGACGGTCTTGCCCGAGCGCGTGACGATCGGTTTCGAGAGAGGGAGGACGTCGTCATGCAGGCTCTGACGGTACGTGTGGGGCACGGCAGGGTAGTAGCGCAGGATCTCCTTCAGGACGGCCTGCAGGTACGGCATCGCTTCAAAGTCGGCGACGGTAAAGTCAGTATCTCCACGCGCGCGGATCGTGCGCTCCATGTCGTGGATCTCCCGGCGGAGGCGCGTCTGGATGTGCGGCTGCTTGGCGAGCTCGAGGAAGGCCCAGCTGAGCGTGTTCGAGGTCGTCTCCTGGCCCGCGAGCATGATCGTCCTATAATTGTCAATTGAGAATGACGCGCGATGCCGAGCTGCTGTCAGGGTGTGCGGGAAATAGGAGGTGGCGGGAGAGCCGCACCTCATTTGCGAGACAATCTCCTTGTGCGACAGGCGCGACGCTCCTGTCTCGTTCGCGTTCTCTCTCACTGCATGTGCGATTAGAGCGGGGGGCATGGAAGTAGTAGGAGGCGCGGGTTGTACGTACCGAGGATGCTCATGACGTCGCGGTTGCCTTTGCCCATGAGCAACGCCTCGGTCTTCGTCTCGAGCAGCTCGTTCGCGACCTTCTGCGCGGCGTCGCGGTTGAAGCGCGCCTTGTCGAGGCCTTTCCCGGGGAGGTGGTCGTAGAGGAGCTGCTGGAGCCCCATGGGAACATAGTGGGCGATGTTCTGCACGAAGATCTTCGCGTTGGAGGGTGCGGAGAAGATTGTCGCGCTAACACAGCGGCCTAAGGTGAGCCTCCAATTGTAGGGCATCATGCGACGTACACGAGGTTGTTGTAGGCTCTTCCGAGCTCGCTGGTCTCGTCTTCCAGCACGCCGAGCTTGTAGTCGAAGGCGGCTGGCGGGGACAGAGCGGCTTGACTGAGATAACGATTGCCGTGGTCATCACTGTATGTGCGCACCTTCTCCGATAGCCTCCAACGTGGCGGGTGCAACATACTCGTGGACGTTGAGCTTGATCGAGCCCTCGCCGAGGCCCGTCAACAAGTCCTTCCACTTGAGCGTGACCTATCGCCCACGATATGTCAACCAGAGTACTGGAACGCCGTGACAATCCGTCCGATGATCCGCACCTGTTCGGCATAGTGCCTGAACACCGGCAGCAGCGCCTTCGACTCGGGGGCACCGAACGCGGGAAGCATAACCTTGCGCTGGCGTTTGTGCACATCACCTGTGCGCCCGCAACGCGTGAGCAAGAATAAACTCGAGCATCAAGGCTCAAGCCCCGCGGGTGGCGTTGCCATGCAGCTCGTGAAGAAGCGCACCTTCTGCCCACGTTAAGCCCGTGTCCCCAATCAGCCGGGAGAGAATGCGGCGTTCCGGCTGCTTCGGGAAGTTGTACCCCGACGTCTGGTAGATGTACTGGAGCGCCTTGGGGTCCGAGATCCAGAGCATGTCCTCCTGCGCGTACATACCCGGTCACTGTCAGCCTCGCCGCCGCGCGTCGAGCCTCGAAGCTGAGTGGGTGCGTACCCCGAACGGCGCCTTGACGCGCACGACGCTGCCATACTGCTGCTGCCACTTGAAGTCCGTCTCGCCCGACTGCTCCTGGAAGAGCTCGGGGAGGTGCCCTGCGCGCACGGAGGCGATGACGAAATGTCAGCATCGCGCTTGCCAGGGAAGGGGAGAAGATCGCCGGGGGCTGCGCACCCAGCCAGAACGACGTCGGCTCGGGCCCAGGGATGTCGGCGACCGAGGGCCTCGTCAGCACGCGGTAGACGGCGTACAGGAGCGACAGCGCCGCGAGGACGACCGCGAGCTCGTGGGGCTGCATCGGCGGGGGGCGGGGGACGGTAGGAGGGGTCGATAAGAAGAAGAAAAGGGAGAAGGCTGCAGTGCTGAGAAACCCGACGGCGTACTTACCTATACATACGTGGGAGCGCGGACCGTTTAGCGTGGCCTGGGTGCCGACTCTGCCCTGACGTCTGCGGGCGACGGCCGCGAATCATGGGCAGCGAAGGGGCGGACGGCCGTGCGTGCGTATGTAACGCGACAGGGGGTTGAACTTGCTGGGCGACCCCTGCCAAAAGTGTGCGCTCGCGAAGGGGGGCGAGAGTTGAGCCGCGAATGGGGTGCAGCTTGTTGTCGCGGCAAACGGCGGGTTAGGAGCCTCTCGAGGCAATCGAGGACCCACCCACCACTCACGGGGCCCAGCCACGCGAAGGACATTCCCAACGGCAAAGAACCATCCATCGTGCGACGCCCACCGTCGCTCCTTGGCGGTCTGGGATGCAGGATCTGCCTTTCCCAGTGTCTGCGCGCGGGAACGCAGATGGCTTGCATTGGCAATTGTGTTCCAAGCAAAGTCCGTCTGCGAGCGAGCCGGGCTACTAAGATGCTGCATACGCATAGACCATCGTCATTAGCAGAGCTAGTATTACTAAATGGAAGGGAAGGGTACGTTCTTGCACGAGGTTAAGGCATCGTCTGGTGAGGCTATCGTGGCACAAGCTATGTATTCGTGGCTCTGCCCACAATGGCTCAATTAGTATATTGCAGGTATTAGAAGTGAGCTGTCAACTGCACCGTAACTGGAGGTGCGTTTCGTGACGTACGGACGTAAGTAGTGCACTGGCATGGGCGTGAGACTATCTGATAGAGAGCGAAGGTATTTTCACGCAGGTAAGCGAGCCCAGGCGGGGTCGGTCGCAAAAGGAATGCTCCGACTTGAACATTGGCCAACGCCGGGATCGAACCGACGACCTTAGCGTACCCTTGGCAGACGCTCCTCAGAGTATTAGCACTACGCTCTAACCAACTGAGCTAGTCGGCCGATGCGTGACTTGTAAAAGAACCCATGTCGACGACAACTAGAGACGAAGGAGAGTACAGCTGCGATGTCCGTCCGAGATCGAGTGCGATTAATATTGGATTAAACAGCATACCCATACTTCATTATCCGACCCTCCACACAGTCCTCCAGCCCTGTTACAAACGGATATCTCGAGAACTGCGGGACCTCATCCTCCTCGTCCTCCTCATCGTGGTCCTCCATCCCGGCCCGTTCCGAGTCATCCGTGGGTATATCGACGGTGGCCCCGAGGTTGCCAAGCAGCCTCGAGCTGGAGAGTAGGCTCTGCCGTGTCTCCGCCGTTGAGGGAACGGGCGTGTACGCGCCTGATCCAGGGGGGTATTCGTGAATCGCATCGTCTGAGACTGGGGGATCCGAGTCGGAGAAGTAGAGCCCGCGGAGACCAAGGATGAAACGGGAGAGAACTATCACTGTGAAACTGTCGTGGCAGCATCGAGCGACCCGGGCGGAAGCACCGGTCACGGTTTCGTTTCAAGTTGATGTCCGTCGGAGTCAGCGATGGATGTGGAGGGTGAAGAATGGACGGTGGTCAGCGAAGTGCAGGTCGGCGCGGCTAGAGCGGGCGGGACTTACGTCGGGGAAAACGAGAGCCAGAAACCAATGCAGAGTATTGCGTGCATCTCGGTTGTGGACAAGGTGGTCTGGAGGATGTAGAAGAGCTGAACGAGCGTGTTGGTGAAAGTGAGCCTGCACATCGTCCCATGAGCGGTCGACGTCGATACACTCCCGTTGCAGTGTGAGAAGACTCACGCGAAGTAGACGGTCCCTGTGACGACAGATGCAGATGCAGGGCGAGGGATCATCAGCCTTCACTCTTCTTCCAAGCATGTAACGGTTCTGAAGACTGAAGTCGTGAACGGACCACCCACCATCACGAAACAGAAACCACGCGATGGGCGGACGTGGACGTGGATGATCATATTTCTGCATCTTCAGCACCGCAGTTCTGATCTGGAATGTCTTGTACCAAGTCAAGATGACGAGGATGCAGTTCGCGAGGACCGTCGAGACGACTGCTGCTACACTCACTGCCGAGCGCCGTCTGTCAGCACGTGCCGATGTATGTATGTATGGAACGCGATGTCCTCACATCTAATGGCGCGGAAAGGAGTCATGCATGAGAGGGTGTACTGTTGGAGGATGTATGCGTACCACTTACGGTTTATATATAGCAGCGAGCCAGGCGGCGTTGTCCTCGGTGCACATAGAGAGGTTCAGATCATCTTCATGCATTATGCGCGCGGAAATTGCAGAGAGCTGTGTAATGTGATGAGCGTTCACACAGCCTGTAGAGCAGTGTAAGAGAAGGGCCTACCAGGCGCACAACTGGGTCTACGAGTGAGAGAGGGGCCACGATAACTAGTGGCCTCCAGTCTCTGCCCCATACGGCGTATACCCGGAGGATTATTAAGACTGAGATTGTCGGTGAGAGGGATCGGTCAGGCGATATGATTAGTGGTAAGGCTTACCTGCGAGCGCAAAGCCGGATAATATAGTCGATACGTCTGTGCTGCGTTCGAGCAACTTGCAGATCTGCCAAGACGGGTGAAGCATCAGCACTCAGCTGGTAGGTGGGCGCAGAAGGGCCAAGTTGAAGTTAATGCGACTCACCGTGGGCCCGGTGCGGTCGTTCCACGCTTGGAACTCGAGGAACACGAGTATGCGATTGAACAGGACGGTGTAGCGGATGAGCAGGTAGACGACCGTCACGCCTGAGAATCGTCTCTTCCAGATACGTTGCACCTCATCGGTGAAGGTCAAGGAGCAGTCGTATAGCAATAGGGCTGATGGAGGAAGTCAGGATTGTAGTGATGGAGCGTAAGAAGTACTAGTACTCACCTGCAGACCCGGCGGCGTAGTAGATGAGGACGAAACTGCGAAGACACGTTAACGGTTGAGTCGAGAGGCCCTTGTGTCCTAACCTGGAGAAGAAAACAACTCACGCAGGGTAATACAACTCGCCGACCTGTCGAGCCTGGTCCTCGTCGGACATGCTGCTAAGTTTGGTACGGGTTGAGAGAGTATGGGAGTCTCGCGGACGAGGAAGTGTCCTCGGCCATCTTCTGCCAGCATTGTAGGGAGCATTTTATATGCTACCGCTCACTGCAGCCAGCTGTACTCGGAGGCGGGGAGAGCTGGACCACCGAACAGGGGCATCTGTCATGCGAGGGCGGAGGAATGGCAACGCACACAGCGTACGTATAAGTCCATCATATGGAATGCTGATTGTCTATCCAGAAGTCGGGAGTGGTCAGCAACGGTGTCTGTCGCAGGGTGATTTGCAAGAGATACGCAACCACACATTGAATGTTTCTTCCAGGTGGGAAACACTCTGACAATCGGGACGTCGTGCATCGCGAGGCGGTGAGAGTGTGGCGAGCCTTCGAGCGACATTAATGATGTCAGCCTGAACCGCAAGGCACTTCATTCACCTGCCGGATGGACACTCACTGACTTTCATCAATCTGAACTGGAGTGTATGGTGTTCACCAAGATGGTCGTCCAATCTCAAACTTTTTAGGGTGGTGACAAATCGACAAGTCGCAACAGACTCAGACTCGGAGTCGCGAGGTACCAGGGTTGGTGATATCGACACACGCGGTCCGACATTCTAGAGCCTCTGTTGAAGACCGCAAGCTGTGTGTTACACTACGAGCAGCTGACGAACATGACGAAAGAGTTGAACGTCGTAAGTTGAAGGGCGATGTTTTTGTCATGATCATCTTGTAGGGCGCTTCCAATCTCCCTTCCTCACCACCACCGCCTTCTCTTGTTCCTTGGACCTGTGCGTTCTACCCCGTCGTATTTGCCACCTGATCTCTGTTCGTTGGCAATCGGCTTCCGGGTACCTGGAGCTGTCCTAGATCGCTTGAAGCCTCACGGCTCACGCCGATGTCATTGCGGAGGAGTAGGGTGTTGTGAGCCCCCTTGGCAGGCTCGGGCCAGCCCCGTGGCCGCGACCCAGGTACTCTCGGTGAGTTGCATCTCAATCTTGGGGGAGCTTGGGTCGAGGAAGGCGGCGGGTATCAACGGAGGTCGCTATCAGAACGAGAGGAGGACGTGGAGAAGACGGGCGCGAGCGTAGAGACGTTTAGACACGTAGTCGCCGACGTCTCGAACTTCTGCACGGACGGACGGTAGCATGTGCGTGCATGCCGCCCACGTAAGAGGGACGCTGGTATGTGCCCGTCCCGTCTGCGCCGTCCCTGCCTCTTCCGGCGAAACGTCGGGCCCTGCCGTCAGCATGGATCGGTTGCGTCAGAATGGGCCGTCTCTGTCCTTCGGTGAAACTGTGGTCCATCGCCCGACCAGCCTCTGGCTCTCCGCGCGCACGACAAGGCCCGCCGTTTCCGGGAAGACGCAGGTTTGGCCACAGAGCCGGATGGAGAAAGTCCGGAGGCTCGACGCGTTCTGTTCTTTCGCGTCCGGTTCTGCTCGAGTTGGAAGGAGACGTCCTTCTTGGTCGCGTATTCGCCACCGCTGCAGCCCTGCGCTGGACGCCACTCCGTCTGCGCCGCTCGCACGTCGCTCCTCAACATAGGCTCCAGCATGCCGCCCGCCCCTGTCCACATCGATATCAGTGGCGGACATTTCTCGGCCTCCGCGCCGGCCCACCGACCATATAAACTAGCTAGCTCGCAACGCGTCCGCCCAACTTCGTCTCCCGATAAGCACCTCGGCGCACGCCTCCACGTCCACACCAGCGAGCCGCGAAATGGTGTACCGCATCCTCGTCGCGTCGTACTCGAACGACGTCTCCACGCTCACGTTCGATCCCGACACGCGCTCGCTCACCCTTTCCTCCTCCATCTCCGTCGGCTTCCATCCGTCGTGGATCACGCCGCATCCCACGGACAAGAGCATCGTCTTCACCGCGCTCGAACAGGCCGAGGGCAAGATCATCGTCCTCAAGCTCGACGACGACGGCCGTGCGACGCTCGTCGGAGACGGCCCGAGTCGAGGCGCAGATCCGTGCACGTCCGTGGCCATCGACGATCAGTTGCTCCTCGCTAACGTGCGTCATTCGTTTGCGTCATCGGCCAAGTGCTATCGCTCACGACAGGCAGTCGCTAGTACTCGTCAGGCGTATTCAATGCTGTGCCTCTTTCTTCGGAGCCGCCGTACATTGTCGCAGCTGAGAGCGCCATCATCACTTTCACGGGCACGGGGCCCAACGCGGAGAGACAAGAGGCCTCGCACCCACATCAAGTCATCCCACATCCTACCTACAACGAAGTGCTCGTTCCGGACCTCGGCGCCGACAAGACGCATCGGCTCGTCCGCGGCGCGGACGGAAAGTGGGAGGTGAAGGGCGCAGTGTCGTACAAACCCGGCTCTGGCCCTCGACACGTCGCGTTTCACGGTGCGTAACTTCCAATCGTCATTCCCTCCCACCCTTCTCACCTCCACCTCCACCTACACCAGACGACGTGCTCTACACGCTCCTCGAGCTCTCCAGCGAAATCTCCGCACACCGCTTCCCTCCCCTCCCCGCCTCGCCGACCCTGCTCGACACCGTGCCGACGATGGCGCACGCGCCCCCGCCCGAGCTCGCCAAAGACATGCTCGCGGCCGAGATCCTCCTCCCCGCGCCCAACCCCGCGTTCCCGACCCCCTACATATACGCATCGAACCGCAACGACCCCGCGCCCGAGGGCGACACCATCGCGATCTTCTCCCCGGTCGGCGGCGGCCCGGACGGCAAGATCGGGTATGTGGCGGAGGTCCGGACCGGGTTGAAGCATGTGCGGGGGATGGTGTTTGGAGGTCCGGACGATAGGTGGCTCATTGTGGGCGGTGCGAGGGGAGGGGGCGTGAAGGTGTTTGAGCGCGTGGATGGTGGGAGGGGCTTGAAGGAGGTTGCGGTCGTGGATGTCGAGGCCCCGACGGGGTTCTTGTGGTTGTGAGCAAGGTGGATAGCTCCGGCAGTGGTGAGACGGGAGAGTCGGCGAGTCGGAGGA